CATTCGACGGACCTTAATTGGACGTACATCGGACGTTGCAATTTCCACAAATAGACGTCTACGGAATGTTTAAAACATATGTTTGAAATTTCAAATAATTTTATATATAGGTTTTAATGTGCTAGTTATAGGTGCTGATTAAAAATATTTCGAGAAGTTAATTTATAAATTTATATTTATTAACTAATTGATTAATAACACAAAAAATAATATTAGTACGTGTAATGTTAATATACTATATATTTAAGTATAAAGTATTGTAATGTTAATTAGAAAATTTCTTGTTCAATATCAGCGTGAGGACGTCAAAAATATTGCGTGTTTAAAACTTGTTACAATAATATTTAACTGAATAGCAAATATTTAACTAAAAAACAAATAAACTAAACCGAATAGAAACTGGAACATAAAATTTAAAAAATTATTCATCTTGTGGTTGCCTTTGAACATTTAATCGTTTTTGTTCCGCATCACACCTTTCTTTCGCTCTTTTCAACCATTTTTGTATTGCTTCTTCGATATCCTTTTTTGTGAAAGTAGCGTTAACTTTTTCACCTGCAGCTATAACAGAAATTAGTATATACTTTCTGACTTAATATCTATTTGAAACAGCTTAAAACGGTTTTAAAAAACAAGTACATAAGGATTAAAAACGTACCAATTAATAACTGTGATAGCTTTAATGTCTGGAATACACGTTTATTCTTTCTTCCTAGCCAACTATATTTAGCAGCTAGTTCATTGGTAAGAATTTGGCTCAAGGTACGCTTTACGAATTCGTAAGCACTCTTTCCTCCAACTTTTGAAGCTTCCAAAATCTGAAACGTTATTGTCATAACGTAGTAGTATGGAATTACGGAATTATGAAATAAATATGATAGCTATATACATTATTTACCGATGTATCAAAATTCTCATCAATTTTCAAGAAGTCCTCCATCTGTTCCTCTAACTGCCTTTCATTTTGTATGGGAATATTGCAGGAATAAAAAATGGATTGCTGTCTCGTATTGCCTTCTGCATTATTGCCATTTGTATTATGATGCAGATTCTCTAATGTATTTTTAATGACTCTTATGTTATCGCTTTGCTGCCAAATTTCTGCTTTAAAGAGATGCTGTTGCCGTATAATTTCTTTAAAATATATCACAGAATCTAAAACATAAATTATTAAGGTATGTTATATATTTTCAAATACTGAATTTGATATCAGTCAAATATTACTATGAATTATAAGTCTTGTTCTTTATTTTAATAACTATGATCAACATTAATTATATTTTCTTCTTAAGACTGGAGTATACATATATTGAAATGTAGAATAGTGTTTCATTTATTCAGCATCTACCAAAACTTTTGAATTAAACAATATGATTACTTATAAAACTTGATGATTAACGAAATATAGTTAACTATGTATATTAAAAACACAATTATTTAATTATTTAATTAGTTAAAAAAATGAATATGTGAAAGTTAAAGTTTATCAAATATATTTTATTAATATCTGCAGTATTAATAATATACAGGATGTCCCTTAAGTACATTACTGTACTGAAAGGAGTAATTCTTTAATTTATTCAAGTAAAAAGTTCATATAAACAAGTATCTTGAACGGCTTAGTTTCCGAATTACATATAGGATGTTTTCAAAAAATTGTTAACGTATAATAATAATCTATCTATTTGAACGAAAGAAATACAGCTTGAACTAATCAAAAACAAAAAAAAACAAAAACAGGTTTCCGACCTTCTGATAAAACAATTAGATGAATTGTTGAATGAACATTCTATATGTATTTCGGAAACTAAGTCGCTTAGAACGCATATTTATATGAACTTTTTACTAGAAATCAATCAAAGATACCTCCTTAAGTATGATAATGTACTTAAAAAGCACCTTCTATATACAAACCGTTATTATTTTGCAAATCTTTGTGGATTGGGCAGCGTTTGCAAGTGCAAATCGAATTATTAAATGCACTGTTGGAAATCCTGTTACCCAAAATGTTTGATGGCTCATCATTTTGTTCATGTAACGCACTGGATTCCGAATGAAACTCTTTTATTTTCGGAAGTTCTTTATTGAAAATTTGCGGCACTGCTATAAAATAAAATATACGTTTTTATTTACTCTAGTGTATTATTGTGCTTGCTCATCTTTGCAAATTATTTAAATGTTTTTCCGTATTACCTAAACCATTTAAATCAATTTATAAAAATATTTTTTTAATATAATATTTCGTAAATTAAGCGTCAATAAGGCCTACGTTAAAAATTCATAATCAACTAAAAAATTATTTTACCATTACACATAAATCATATTTGGTTCAAAAATATATTATTAATGAAATAATATTTAAACAAATCTTGTGTACCTAAAATGTCTTCTGCAGACTCATCATCACTTTTACTTGCTGAAAAGGCGAACCGATATTTATTCTTTTTTTTGCTTTGAGCGTCCGTTACTTCTAAAATTGAATTATATAGCATATATAATTTGTCACTGTACATATAGTTAGAATATATTTAAACAAATATTTAAAAACAAACGTTTCAAGACCGGAGGCATTGGCAGAGTCCTATTATCCTCATCTTCTGAAGAAGACAATGTCTTACTGGATTGTTTTCGCCGTATATCTACGTCAGAATTCAAGTCGGAGGTGAACTCAGACTTTTTGCATTTTTCCCTGGCAGTTTTGTAATCGGCTAAAAATATGAAAATTGATATTCAAATTATATCAGAACCTAATCTAAGAATTACGTATGACACGTTTTGTATCTAAAAACATAATATAAACTAAAATTAATTTATTATATAGAAGAAATTTACTTAAGCTTAAATAATAACCAATCAAAGAAATTTTAATAATTTCTTAAATGTTATAATGTTAACACATGCGTTTTTTAAATGAAAAATATTTAGTCTGACTTTATTTGTAACTTATGCACAGATTGCTACAGATATATAAACGAACACTGCATATATATGCTTACCAAAAGTACTGTTTCGAAAGATACTAATTTCGTAAGAAGGCCAACACGTATTCGGTTGTTCATTTTTACGAATAATAGCCATAATTTTCTCGTTTTTAAACGGCGGCCAGTAACATCGGTTTTGTATGATCCAACTAGATGGTACTGCCTCGACTGTATCTTCGTCAATAAATCTGACGACCGTCCATGTTTGATCTGACATTTTTACTGATGCAAAATCTAAACAATAAAACATAATTCTTTGTCTTAATAAAAATTTTTACTTAATTTTAAAATCGCACTTATATATACGTATATATATACAGTAATTTTTGTGTACATTTTTTAAAGAAAATTGCACGAGGCATAACACAGAGTAGCTGATACAGATGGTCGTGTTTAAAACAAAAATTAGCATCGACAACAAAATTGGAAACATTTTTTACCAACAAATTGTAAAATTAGAACACTATATTTTATTATATAAAAGCCTAAAAACGCGAGGTTCAGTAATTTAGTAAATTTTTAATTTGTATCACAAATATATAATAGTATATAATTTTATATGTTAACTAATTTGAATGCAAAAGAGGGAAAACAACACTTTGATTTTTGAATTTTAATTTCAGGTATTTGTATGCAATTTGTTTTATATCCCACTTCTGCAAATCTCGGATACGATCAACAACATAAATTCCTAACTTTGATGATTCACATGGTTCCGAGTAAAAATCAGTAAGTGAATGATATTTATTACCAATTACAAAAGTACCTTCATTAGTTACAATAAAATTTTGAACAACTATAATAGTTCCGTCTGTTAAAGAACAAATGTTATCAGGTGCTGCTGTTTTTAATATAAATTGTTTAAAAACAGCTTTATTATATTGATTTAATTTTGAATTGCAATTAACATTATTCACAATCGGGCCATTAAAGTGCAGATTTTGAAGTTGTAGCTCTCTATTAATTTTTAACTTATCAGTAGATTTTGCACAAGAATTTTGTTCGCTTATACGACAAACGATCTGTTCTAATGGTTTTTCATTTTTACGAATCATTTTTAAGATTGTTTGTAAATAATTTTCAAATGCAAACGCACTAAATTCCTGTAATGTTCCATATTGTACAGCATCATCATAAAGATGAAGTAAATTATGCACGTTCTGCGATGCATTTTCTTTTCCATATAGAATTATAAATGTTTTTACAAAATATTCCAACAATGATTTTGCATAATCTAAATATAATTCCATGTGCTTTGAGTTTGATAAAATAGTGATAGCTACGTGCAAAGTTAAGAAATTAATGTATTTATCGGCATTTAGAACGGATTTTAAAACTAGTGGTCCTGTATATAACACGAAAGTTCTAAACTCAGTTGCTTTCCATCTTTTGCTTTCAATTAATGATCTTGATTTTCGGTTAATTTCGCACGGTATATGACATTTTTGCTCTACTAATAATGTCGATATTTCGGATATTTGATTAAAAGATAATTTGCATCGAGGTTTTCCATAGCACCACATTTTTACAACTAATGCTTTGACAATTCCCAGGTACAGTAAATGCATAGGATCAGATGGAAAATTCTTAACCATATCTAAATTGGGAATTGTTTCAAGTATGGATGTGCCCGTGTGATGGTCTTTCTGTAATTTTAGACGAAAATCATGGTCTGTTCTTTGATCAAAACCGTTTATATATGGATAGCACACTCTGTCAAGATAATATTCTCCTTTAGATTTACATTTGGTACACGAATTATAACCCGAATGTCCCTTCGTGAATTTAATAAAGGCTTTAGCGGGTACATCACAAATAAATGCATTAATTTTAAAGGCATAATTATGCCCATTAATTGTTATACCATTTGAAGTAAAACAAATTACTTCCTCTGTAAAAGCTTGTAAAAATAAATTTGCATCTTCAGGTTTTTCATTTCCGTAGTAAATCCCAACAACATTTACTTCGTTGTAATTCTCCACTAAATTACATAATATTGGATATACTTGACCATTTGAGCTTTTAAACAAAGGAAGACCATCGATATTCACATTAACTTGAATAGATAACAAATTTCCAGAATATCGCGATACAAGTTCTTCAATACAATTGCGCAGTCCAAAATGATAATAATATCCTGGTGGAATACTTTGTACATTTATCTTCCTAGGAGTTCTCAATAAACTACGTGCATCGGTAGGTAATTCCGAATATTTAGGTTTTATGCGAGTCATTAATTCGGTCAATGCAACGTGTGATATGCGGTTTTTGATTGCCCAATCTTGAAGCCATGGCAAGAAATTTGAAGAGCCATTAGACTCAAGATGATCAGATTCTGTATTAACGTTATCAATTACTTTGTTATTATTAGAATTACTTTCATTTATTACTTTGATTTCAAAGATATCGTTAAAAGTATTTTCAATATTATTATGATCGATATTTAAATTTGTGGAGTGACTAGAATCTTCGTCATGTAATTCACCATTATTACCCAAGTTCTGTGTCAATGATAAATAATTTAATTCATGTGACCTCTCGTCATTTTCAAACAGTGATATATTAGTATTATTCCTATTATTCGGGAAAGAACTTCTTAATAATGATGTTTCACAAATGCTTTGCACAACGTTAACTACTGAATCTGACATCTTTTTTGCTCGTCGATAATAACTACATTTTATTTTTGGCATATTTGAAGCATAAATTATATTTCGTCTTCTTACTTGATCTTGTGATATCGTTATTCCCTTTGAAAAAATTCTGCAAAGAAAAAAAAGAATTATTTCCAATTATTTCCAATATTTAATGCTGTTTCTTAATTTGTAAAAATCTTATAAAAAATTATATTATTGCCTACAATCAATGAAACTATAATGCAAGTCATTAATTGATAAAAAGATGTTTTTCATACAATTTGATACAA